ATTATCCACCCTTGCATCCCTGGGATGAAGCCTACTTGATCATGGTGGATAATTGTTTTGATGTGTTCTTGGAGTCTGTTTGCCAGTATTTTATTGAGTATCTTTGCATCAATGTTCATGAGGGAGATTGGTCTGTAGTTCTCTTTCTTTCTTGTGTCCTTGTTTGGTTTAGGAATCAGGGTAATTGTAGGCTCATGGTGCTAGAGAGATAGATAAGATTTCTTACACCTTGACAGGTACCTGGAAGTGGTCTGAGACACTGGGCATGGCTTGAGCATATATGAAACCTCAAAGCCTGCCTCCACAGTGACACACTTCCTCCAACAAGGCCATACCTACTCCAACAAAGCCACAACTGCTAATTGTGACATTCTTAGGGAGCAGTTTTCTTTCAATCAACCACAACTACAAATGCTCCAATCATCATTTGAGCATACTTGCAAATAAGCAGAGACACCTCCTCAGACATGATGCTGATGCCCCAACAGCCTTTTGTCAGCATTTTTCCTGCAAACATCCTTGGATCCTTGGTCCAGCATGTAAGCTGTATTAGGAAAAAACTGGGTTATATAAGTGTCAATATCAGTACTTAAAGATATTGCAGATGTTCTAAGCAGGACACAATTTCAAATTGAAAAGGCCAAATTCATTAAATCTCTTAAAGGCCTTTCTATAAGGAATGTTTATCTTTTGACATTGTTGCCTTAGAACTACAATAAATTGTGTCATATTTTACCTCTTGGGTATTTTCAAGCTGATATTTTTTGGTCTTTTCTATAAATTTCTTAAAAAATTATGTAGCATCACTTGGAAGCATGCAGGTGTTTAGTTTGTTATATATTCTGAAAAGGAATGGAAAGAGTTCTCTAGAGAAAAGCAAAAAAGCAATGAAAATGCAAATTGAAGCTTCTGATAGTTATTTTATTCACTAATTAAAAAATTTCAATGATTTAAGTGAAATATCAAAACAACAGCAATAACTGTTGTTGAAATTATTATAATTATAATATACAGAAAGTATATCACATCTAAAAGTAATTGAATTTTAAATAAATATGCAAAGAGAAGAAGTCAGCTCCAGGAAGATTCAGTGTGGAATTTTATGCAATATTTAACAAATAATTCTTACCAGTTCATCACAGGCATTTCTAAAACTTATAAATCTAGGGAAATGTGGAGAATTTAATCTCAAAAATTCTACTGCCCTGTTATTTAAAATCAGAATAAATTTTGGGACTAAATCTTGTGCAGAAATGTGCCTTAAAAGTATATTTTTATCAGCAAAACACTTATCAACTGAATGTAGAAACACGAAAAGAATTCTGTTGTTTGTTACTCAATGAGGCACAACACAAAACAAAACCAAATCACACAAGCAGTCAGAGATGGTGTATTTTGAAAAAAATTCAGGGATAAACACAACATCCTTTTCTAATTAATATCTCAGAAAATTGGAAACAGCAGTGAGTTCCCTTAACTTTATGAGAATTGTCAATGGAAACTAAGAGCTAACATAGAAATTGAGGGAGTATGTGTTTTCTGTCATGCTTGGAAAAAAGCAATGATAGGTTGTTCATGCTATCATTCCTTCTAGCAGTGAATTTAACCAACAAGCGGGTCCATTATGCCAATCATGGCACAGCATTAATATAAAAAACATACATGAAATCAGTAATACTCATGTGTTCTGGAGGAAGACTCAGAGAAACACAAGTTTGAAAGGAGACTTGAATATTAGACAGAAACTGTTTAAAAATTAAGAAAATTTCATGTGTTGGTAACTAAAGGTATAGGCTTAGACATGCTAACCAGGCACCATTCCATAAATCTCCATCCTTAACTTCTGGACTTAAGGTAGAATCCTGATTGAATGCCAGGTAGGGCAAGAATTGAAAACTTCCAGCCTCTATTGCTCTACTGCAGGGATTAAAAATATTTCTCAACACTCTTGACACAGTCATATATCCCTTTACTTTAGTGATCTCATATCTAAGGCAACAAACAAGGTCAATGATTAGGCAGAAAACATTTTTTTACAAAATCATAAAAACATAAAAATCATCTCCCAACCACTGCACACTGGTCCATCTGCCACTATAACAATCATGGAGGATGGTCCAGGAAGAAACTGATGCTGAAAGTCATCATGAAGAACACTCTGAAGTATGGCTTTTGGAGAGAACAATGCAGAGGGTCTCCCAGTGATGAGATAACCCAATATTATGGACATTTAGTTTTATTATTCAATAACTCTTCTCCATTGTCATCCCCCCCTAAAGCTATTCTTTATTTATATAATTCCCAAGGTAGATATAGGAAGGCAGCCCCCCATTGCTCAATATTCAAATCTTATGTCATTTCATATTTTTGGAAATGTTTTCATACATCTTTACCTCCATCTTAGTAACACAGACTTTCCTGGTTTAAAGGACCTTTGTGGCTCAGTTTCCTGAGAGATGGGACTGCTCTACATGATATGACTGCACAATCTTACCTCATTGTTTCCAGTTTATCTTTAACCCAATGTCCAACTTCTTCCTGTACCCCCTTTTTACTCCACTATGATGTCCTTGCTGCCCCTCCATATCCCACTTGGCAACACTCTTTTAATCTCTATTACCCACAAGACTTATTTTTCCTCCCTCTTCATAGTTATTCCTACAAGAGCTAACATGTGAGTATAGAGAGAATGGAGTCTGCCTTTTCTCCTTAAAATAGCCCTTAAAGAGTGACTAATGAAAGTTTTGAAGTCAACTGCTACTCTCTTTTTATAGAGGGATTGCAGATTATTGATAACTATTGCTGCAAATACTAATCACCTACCATAGGATCATGGGGGATAGGGCAGAGAAGAGTTCAGAGCCCTGAACATAAGCCTAATAGAAGAAAATATCTCCTCAACCCTACTATAGCCCAGGCTTTGCTGAAAACTAAAAAAAAATCTAACTATAGGGAGAAAGATGACCTAAATTAAAAAAAATAAATAGTATAACCATTGATACAACTACAGATGGGCATTTCTTAGTTGTAAGGCATAAGTAAAATGAAAAAGTACATCAATTATCCTTTAGCCACAGAGTAACCACAAATAAAAGGAATGTACAAAACATGAGATAAGAAATCAGTGATTATAAGTTATGTTTAAATAATTCAATAAACACATGCCTATCTCCTGAATTAATCCCAAGAAAACACCAAAAAAATAGAAAAGAAATAAGGAAATTGAATCAGGATATTCATATGGAATTTGATAAAGACATAGATATACAGAAGAAAACAGAAATGCAATGATAAGAGAAATGAAAGTTTCATGAAGTGTGGTGGGCCTATTCCTATCTTTTCCAGGGTACTCTTGAGGAGAGAGGGATAAGAAATATTACTTAGAAAGAGCGACATAGCTAAAGAGAGAAAAGACAGAAACACAGGAAAGTTTTGGGAGGACCTGGATAAATACCCAATGACCCCTTCTGTCTCTTCAAAGGGGCTTTTTAAAATAATGCCAAGGGTCAGTGCAAAAGACCTCCCCCTTGACAGATCAAAGCACACCGCACAGTCAAATGAAGACCCTTACAAACACCTGGTAACCACGCATGTGGTCAAGCCATCACCTTATGCAGCCCTGCCTGGTAAAGTAAGCTCAGATCTCACTAGGAAATCTCTGTGGGCTCCCACAATTAAGTCAAATACAAATTTCTGTGGAAAGCATCAGAGATAGAGTATATCAAGTAGAAGACAGAAGTTGAAGGCATGAAGACATGGAAGAGTACTAAGATAATTCAGTCATGATTCATGATCGATTTGTTAAACAGTTGGATGGAACATGTAAGTTTGGGGAGATAAGAAAAAAGTCTATGATTTTCAGCATAGAACAATGACGAGAATTCCATGTCAAATGCATAGAAAATATTATCAATAAAATCACAGAACAGAAGTTTCCAGACTGAAGGAAAGAAATGTCCATCAAGATGCAAAATGGATAAAGAGTATAACACAGGTAAGAAGACCAGAGAAGAAACTTCCCATTTCATATATTACATATACAGTGAATACACAGAATAAATAAAGTGTACTGGAAGGTGTGAGAGGAAGGACTAAGTTACAAATAAAGGCAGGACCCTGAGCATATCTCCTGTATTTTCAATGGAAAAAAATGCCAGGATGTCTTAAAAGAGTGTAGTCCATGTTTAGAAAATAAGAGCTGTTGAACAATATTAAAGTATATATTTTTTTAAAAAAGCTATTCATTATAATCAAGGGAGAAAAACTATCCCTGTTATGTCATTCTAAAGAATTTCTCACAATGAAGTCTGCTTGCATTACATAATGTAAAGATCAGTTTGACTTGAAGAAAAGAACAAATACAGCCAAAAGGCTAGAAGAAAAAATGATGCTAAGACAGCTGTTAAGAAGAGAGAACCAAGACAATGCCACACAGTAGAAAAGCAATAAAATGTCAAGAATCAAGCATGGCTTTCAGTAAGAAAGTTTGAATCCTAACAGTCTACGTTGCTTTATCAATGTACACAGACTAAGGCTGCAGATACTGACACATCCTTTAATCTCAGTACTCAAGAGTCAGATGCAGGCAGATCACAATGGATTCAGAAAAGTCTCATGTACATAGCCAGTTCTAGTCCAGCTAGGAGTACATGGAGCCTGTCTTTTAATAAATAGATAAGTAAATAATATACAAACTATCAGATTGAATTAGCAATCATAATGCTTAATCCTGACCAAAAAAATGTACCCAACCACAGAATATCAACATATGGAATAGTGGACATCACTATTCCAATATCAAAGTAAAGCTAGTCCCAAGGATGTAGAAAATCATTTTATACACTTTAAAGGAACTATCCCACCACAAGCCATTGCTAAATTTATATGCATTAATATATGCACTCAATTTCATAAAACAAAAGCTAATAGATATAATGTCACAGAATAAATTCTGCAACATAATAGTGATTGACTTCTACACCCACTATTAAAATAAATTACTATCCATAACACAATAAACAGACAAACATTAGAATAGATACTATTAATTTAACTTTGATTCAAGTTTTATTCAAGAGATCTTGAATAATTCCATGTATGTAAATGTATAGTTATAAATCATGGCATTAATGGCTTAAAGACAGAAATCACATAATCACCTCATGCCTTTCAAAAATGTAAAAAGTATGTGGCAATGATAGATAACAACATGTGATATGAAAATTCAGATGGGAAAAAAGAAACAGATCATATAGGAGTGAAAGCAAGTTGGGGGAGATAATAATTGTGTATGGATATGCTACAATGAGCCTCTTTACATTGTATGATGATTAGAATAATTCTAAGATCTTAATGTAGTTGAAAACAGACTATATACCTGTAGAGAAAGCCAGTGAATTGAAAAAGTCAAATATAAAAAGCTTTCTGGTGTTTTTCACAAAGGGATCCCGGGGGTTGTTGAGGGAATCCATCTTCACTCCAAATAAGGTACTGGTGATCACATCCATGCTGTAGGCCCCAAAGATGCTGAGTAGAGAAACATGGGAGTTAATGTGTTACTGACACAACCTCTGAGGTATGTGACTATTTGTCTGCAGTATCATCAACACAGCCTGAGTTTACTACTGTGGTGTCTTCAGACTCATTATGATTTTACTGCTCACATCATTTCCAGAACATTCTCCCTCTTCAGTTGGATGAAAGAGAGGCAGAAAAATTGTTTCTTGTTGATACTTTTCTAAGACCCTCAGTAAAACCTGATTATTTAGAATGTGGAAAGTTATAGCTATAATACTCTTGCTAAACCAATGTCCTCTGATGTAGTACATGTATCCTCCTCCCACATTTCTTAATCCCCACATCTGCATCTTCCATAAATTTTCCTCTTTCATTCTAAACTATATAACTGTCTTCTAAAACATACAAGATGACAACAGGTAACCTAATTTTGTCTCAGGTACACAAGGGAGAGACTCACACAAGGTATTGTGGCAACTGTTCCTTAATGTGTGGTTCACATCCGGGTAATTTCATGCCTCTCCCTTACTCTTGCAATGGAATAATTTTTACTACCTGTTAGGCAGACATACACATACATCTAATATACAACCCAGATTTACCACTTCTTGACAGTTCTTCAAAAAGACAACATCCTACTCCACAGATGCTTGTAGAGATATGTTGACTGATGCTCTGTTCACAATTACTAGGAAGTGAAAACAACCTATATATCCTTAAATTAATAGATAGTGAATAGATAATTAAAAATGTGTTATATGTATACAACAGAATACCATTTAGCTGTAAAGAAAATTGAAACCATGCAGTAAATTAGTGGAACTAGAAAATATTATATTGAGTGAGATAACCCAGACCCACAAAGACAAATACCCCATGTTATTCCACACCTTTAGTTCCCAGCCATCAATCTACAGATGTGTGAATACAACAGAAAGTGATCACAGAAAGGCAGGAACTAAAATGGGGCTATGACAAGGGGAACCCCTAAGAGGGAAAAAGCAGGACACAGGTAATATGAAGGAGAAATGGGGAAAATGGGAGGGACTTTTACCTGGAGAAGGAAGAAGGAGGAAAATACAGAAGGAGAGGAAGAGGGAATGATGAATAACACTATGGACGGTTGAATGACACAGGGATTCAATATTTTATATTATCTAAAGGGAGCTGGGGTGGGAACAGGGGAGGGACAAGCAGGAGAAAACAAATAACATATTTGTATTTTAACTAAAAAGTTTTAAAAGTACCATTCAAAGCTGTTTATATAAGGAGATATATAAATGTGGATAAATTATGTTAGCTCTATCATCAGATCAAACTGAGTTTGAATGCAAGCACTGACACTTACTAGTAAAGCTTAAACACACTGCCATGTAAAATACATAAGTAAACTGCTTAGGAAAAACTAAAGGAGAAATGAAAACAGCAACTTTAACCTTATTTATGATTACCCAGCTTCCTTAGGGACTATGGGGTGACATAAGTGTAAGGAGACAGTAACAATCAATCTCTACCCTGAGACAGCAGAGCTGCTAAAATGAACTAGTGACTTCTGCTTTGTGACCCTGCTTGTTCATTCCCTGCTGACCAGGGTCACATCTGCTCTTTGCCCTTGAGAAGTGGCCACCATAAATACCCACTTAGACAGCAAATATGTGCCTCTTCAATAGTGCTTGTGAACCAAGGAAGGAAGTTTTCTGTTTATCTCTGATTGCTGACAGTTTCTCCTAAGGAAAGTTTGACACCCCCACCTTAACAAAACAACATGAAGAAACATAGCATGCTGTGTACATTGTTTAAATATTTGGTGAATACATAAGAATTTCATAATACAATGTTTGTTCATTTTTTTTGGTGCTGGTCATTGAACTCTGGGTCAGGTTAATCTACCACTGGGCAACATTTCCAGCCTCTCATAACCATGTTATTTGTCTTTGCTTTAAAAGACAGGGTTCCTCTGTGTAGCCCTGGCTGTCCTGCAACATGATTTGTGGACCAGGCTAGGCTCAAACTCACAAAGATCCACTTGCATTCTGCAATTAAAAGTGTGCAGCAACATAGCCTCACTGACTATTTTTTTAAGATTTAGGTGTTCCTACACCAGAAGTGGGACCTAGGCCCCCTTAGTGTAAACCAGGAATCCTAACTGCTAGACTATGTGGGGTCATGAAAAATTTTTTCAATGAATATTTATATTTTATTTTTTATATTTAAAATTACAACGTAGTTGTAACATTTCTCCCTTCCAAACACTTCCATATACACCTTCTTTCTCTTTTTTCATATTCATTCTTTGTTGTTGAAATAATTGTTATTGAATACATGGATACATATTTATATACAAACATATTCCTATGTATAACATGTTTGGTGTATATAATCCTCACATTTTAAAAAAGGAATACCTACATTTCAATTTGTGAAGACAGAATAAAATTCTTTCACTAGCACATTCTTGATTATATCTGGTTCTGTGATGACTAGCACAGGCAGGAATCCATCATAAAGCCTGTATTGGGGAAACAGAAATGATTACATTTTGATCCTGATGTTACCTCTGGTTCTATATATACATATATATACTTACTTCCGTGAACTGAACCTTAGCCTTCTGTAAGAACAGCAAATGTTTATTCACTGCTACTCTACTGCCCCAAGGGCAAATTATTAACAATTGACAAGCAGTAATATTTCAAGGAACTTTTCTTTGGAGCCATTAGAGATGCAGCACAGCATGGCCATGGGTCAATGGCCATGGCAGCTCAGCAGACCCTGTGATTAGTACTGTGGTTTCTGATGATGAATGAGAAGAGATGAAGAGGCAGAATCTTTTCACACTTGTTTGTGGCACACAGGACAGTGATGTCACTTCTTCCCAAGTTCTGGACAAAACCCCAGTTGCTTCAGTCATCACAGAAATTAATTAATGAAACAAGTCTAGAAGTCAACAGTATTGTTGACATATCCAACACCTTTTCTTCAAAGTTAGCAGTATGTGTTGAGTGAAATAACCATGTACATCTTTATTAATAGTCAATGCCTTGTATGAAATGTAACAAAAATTAAAATGTAAAAGAAAATTCAAAAAGTGTGGAATTGCAGAAATCTAAAATCAGTAGTGAGGGGCAGATGTGGAAGACAGTGACAACAAGGCCAATGTGGACTCATAGTGACTTCAAGTCCAATGTTGGATATATTGAGCCCTGGTCTCAAAAAATAAACCATGTGGCAAGGCCCAGGATACCTCAAACCTATAGAAAGAAGTACAGGCAGGTAAGGATTACTGTGAATGAGAGAAATAGTCTTACCCAGGGAAGAGCACAAAAACTGGTTACCAGTTCCACAAGGTCAGCCCTGAAAACATACTTATGATTATAAATGCATACACGCACACACACACACACACACACACACACACACACACACACACACAGTCACATAACAAGTCATGAAAGCCAGGGGATGTATTTGAAGGAGGAAAAGGAAAGTAGAAAGGATACAATAATATAACCTCAAACAAAAAAATGAAGTAATGAAATAAAAAACATACTTTATACACACACGAATTTAAACAAAAATAATAACTGTAAAATGTGCCTATTTTCTCCTTAGCCTATCTTGGGAAAGTCCATATTTACTAGAAATATCTTTGATAAAATTATTTTTGCTTTTTGTTGTTGTTGGTTTTTAGAGAAAGGGTTTCTCTGTGTAGCTTTGCGCCTTTCCTGGATTTCACTCTGCAGACCATGCTGGCCTCAAACTCATAAAGATCTGCCTGCCTCTGCCTCCTGAGTGCTGGGATTAAAGGCATGCGCCACCACTGCCTGGCTATTTTTGCTTTTATCTGAGTGTAAATATGTATGTGCAAGAGAAACTCTCCTGAATTTATGAGCACAAATAACATGCGTCTGTATTAATGCATATCTGACATTTTTTAAAAGTCTCAAGGAAGAATATATAGAGGCAGGGACCATGATAAGACACTGGGTTAAAGTAAGGCTAGGTGTCTCTGGAACATCAATGAATGCAAACAAATAATATGTGCAATGTTCTCATCTTAATTCAGACTGTGGGCAACAACATATTTATGGAACCCTTGGCAGGACAGGTTTTCAGACTATTTAAAACAGGCAAATGTGACCCAAATAACTCTGGACTGAAACCGTTCTCCAATGCAGTTTCATGTCACAAAATAACAAATCTACATATTGGACAACTGCAGAATACTCACCCCCATATATCTCCATACTTTTTATGGCATTCTAAATTGTATTTTGATATGCCCTGGAAAAAGAAAAGAAAATGAAAAATCATTATTTTTCTACCTGTATTGGCCAGTAAACTCTAAACAAATGACTCAAATCCCAGGACATCAGGCTCGTTATTTAATTTTCTGACCAAGCAATTAATGGAAATCCTTCCAAGTTCTATGGGAGAAAAAAGAAAATACAGAAGACACTAGACTTGGGAAATTTAAAGATATTCATGATTTCTTTTCTGGATATTGTACATTCCAAAAAAAGTTCTTTCTCTATTAAAAGTAGAAACTGTCTTTATCTTTGATAGTTCTCCGGTTTTGATTTGACTCTGAAATCTTGGAACACTCTATCTTTTCCCCTTCATATGTGCCTGAGGGCACCAAGAGTCAGGGAGATTGCCATGAATTTATAAAATCTATGTGCTTCTCATTGCTCACTGCCCCTTCACTCACTTGATGACTTTCCCAGGATTTCAGTACCGTCATTTACATAGTATATTATATTATATAATTGCTTTTCAGAACATTAAATGAAAAGTAGCAATGAAGTAGAAGGATATGATTTTGCTTCTAGTGTTCCTGTTCAATATGGAAAGATGATGATATGCTGCCTCACATAAAGAAAACATAAAATTGAATTCTTAGTTTGAATTTTCCCCCCTCTGAACTCTGGGGAAAATCTTTTTGCCAGCATTTTATGATTTAGCTGTGTGCTGACCATGGCCATTTTTCCTTTACAAATAGCATGTGAAAAGCTATGCTGCTTAATAAAATTCTGATATATTTCATCATATTATGCAAGACCTCTTGGTCACAGCACCATGTCTTGTTTAGTCTCATACATATTCCTCCGAAACATATCACCACCTTCTCCTTGGGCATCCTCATTCCTTCAGGTCACTTAATTTGGTACTCAATGCAAGGCTCAAGATTACTAGAAATTATCAAGAATGAACGTTACTGTGATAAATGTACAAAAAGTGTCAGATATGAGGACCTGTAAGAAAGAAAGTATGGAGGAATAGCTGAGAGTAAAACATGGGAGGAAAAGATTCAAAAGAACAATCTTTTCATTCATATGCTTCATCTACTTATACTTTGACAAGTATCACTATGGTACTTTGATAAATTCTTTATTTTCATTAAAATATGCTCTTGGTTTCCTGAATAAGGTTCTGTGAATTTAACAGTATGAGAACCTGTAGCTGGCGTTTTCTCCAGTCGCCCCCCCCCAGGTCTGCAGCCACTCAGACCCAAGTAAACACACAGAGACTTATATTACTTATAAATTGTATGGCTATGGCTGGGTTCTTGCTACCTAGTTTTTATATCTTAAATTAACCCATTTTTATTAATCTATAAGTTGCCATGTGGCTTGTGGCTTACTGGTACTTTTACATGTTCTTTTACATCTTGCTTCCCCTGTGTCTGAACGGTGACTCTTGACACAGCCTTCCTCTTCCCAAAATTCTCTTCTCTCTTTGTCCTGCCTATACTTCCTGCCAGGCTACTGGACAATCAGCATTTTATTTATTAACCAATCAGAGCAACACATTTACAGCATACAGAACAATATTCACTGCAAGTCCCCTTTTCTTTTTTTTCAAAAAGGAAGGTTTTAACATTAACATAGTAAAATTACATAACAAAACAATTTTCAATCAAGAATTGCAGTTACAATGTTTAGTCTATTTATAATATCTAGTCTAATTGTATTTGACAAAATTAAAGAAGAGATCCTATCTATCCTATATTTGT